CTGGTACTCATGGGCCATTCGCCATGTGACTTCCTGTTGACGGTTGACTTCTCGCCGCCACGCTAATGCCTCGGACTGTTTTGGAATTCCGTGTCTAAAAGACGTCGTCATCGCTTTCATTGTTGAGCTGGCATCCCATCAGTGAACCAAGTAGAAAGGCGTTTCCCTCCTGGTAGTGTCCATTGAGTTGTTAATGGCGAAGACTAGATGCTCTGCGATCTCGTCCCAATCTTGCTGAAGTGGGTCTTCGGCATAGACCTTTACGGCTGCATCACCGTCTTGACTGATCTTTCTTGCTGCCCATTGGCCTGTGGCCGATAACTCAGAGTTGCTCTCGATCTTGACTGCATCATCTCGGCAAACGCTTGAAATACTTCGCTCATAAAGCGGGGGTCTCTATCATGCCGTATTAATGACGGTGCCCCAAACCTTCCGTAAATGCATTCTTCAAATACTTGTGCGACTTTGAATGCTGTAGTGTCCGACATCGGTTTTGCGATGACGAATCCCGTGAAAGCGCACTGGAATAGCAGTAGTGCCGTGTTGCCTCGCCGAGATTTCGGCAGTGGAATCACGAAATCCATCGACACAATCTGGAATGGCCTTTCGGCGAGAATATTGCCAGGAGAGTATCCTCTCAACTGGGGTTTGCTCTTGCTTGAACTACAATCCGGACACGACTTCACGTGTTTCTCAACGTCCGCGTAAAGGCCAAACCAATAATAATCTTGCTTCACTCGTTGGTATGTCCTCACTACGCCTTGATGTCCACCTTCCAATGAGTCATGGTTGTTTTGAAGAACTTCTTGGATCATCGTAGTTGGGACTACTAGTCGCAGTCTCAATTCCTCTTGGTTGGCTTGTTGGTTCCGCGGAGTCGAGTTCATATAATACAGCACATTATCGTTCCAATTTTTACGGATGACCACCGAAGTGGTTCCTAATACAGCACATTATCGTCCGTCAAGAGAAATCGGTCTGCTATCTTCCACGCATCTCGGGCAGCTCTATATTTGAGCTTGTCGGAGTTTCCTCGTAAAACCTTTCAGATTGAGCCATTTTAGCTCTTCGTCTTGGGCGATAGCAATTCTCCGTCGCCGCTCTGATTGTATCGCTGCTGGGTCAACGTCACTTGCCTCTGGAACCGCACTGAGCAGTCTTCGCTGAGTTTACTACCGCATTTTCTGTGTCTTCTGTCGACATTGGTTTCGGCATGGCT